AGCTTAAAAACAGGAGATAATGCAAAGTATAAACCGGGATTTTGTATCGACAGCAGAACGACAAATTCGAAACCAGCAGAAAGGAAACAGAACATTCGGTATCAGGACAAATAAAAAAGCATTACGTTAAAGGTTCAATCATAGATACATCAACGACTAGAATATGGAATGTCTGACACAACTCAGTGGAGTTACATATAAAATAAACTGCCTCAATTAGCGGAACATTTCTGAACCGTGAAGTAACACCACGTGATAACATAACATTATTCTTAACATTCACGTTAAGTATGGAACCAACCAACTTGCTTAGAGAATAGCTAGAAACTTGACTTTTGATGGGTTCTAGAAATTGAGATAACCATTTGACGACTGGGTGATAAGGTGAGTTCGGCGTATCTAGAATTGCACTTATTGGCAATTCAGGTTTACGGGTATTTGGGACTCTACGCAAGAGTAGTATTTTTGATTCAGAAGATCTCAATCTTCCACGTAGCTCAGAACTGGTAATTCGTTTATCATTAATTTCACAGTTGAAGTCAGTTGTCGTTTTATTGCCTCTGTTATTTTCCGTTGTTGATTTGAAAAACCTACTTTCATAAGAACGAAGTTCAGATATTTCCTGAATGCTATATTTTCTGTCCATTAAGACTATACCGACACCTTTATCAGGATAGTTTATTGCAATTTTGTTATTATGCTTCAGACATGAAGAGCGATGTTTTGTGACCTGACTTCCGCTGACGTGGATTAAATGGTGGACACAAATAGACCATGTTGCTAATGGTTGTCTCTGGAGGATTGCCTCTCCTACTGGAGTATGTGCTCGGTCAGTGACCCCGTGTTGGTTTGAGCACGCGCTTGCTTACGCTTAAGTGGTAGTTGGAAAAATACAGCATAATTTCCACTGCAGCTTAACAGTGAGAGTAAGAAATCTGGTTTCAGCAAAACAAAGGTTAGACAGTTATCGAAACAAAACAATATGATTCTTTTCTTTTCGTACTTTATATTTCTTTTGACTGCATTCACTTATCTTCATCCTTCGCCTCACTACCTTTTTACTTGGTGTGCTGATATGAGGTGTGGCAACTCGGACCGTTACGCAGTAATGCCTGGTCCTATGTTGATAATGATGAGAAGAAGAAGCCTGGGGCCATCCCCAGTCTGTAGTAAGTACAGTATTGAGCACCGTAGCTGACTGTCACAGAGTGGTTCGAAAGAGCTATTGGAACCCAGCAGCTTCTGAATGAATGAATGGATGGATGCAAGCAAATGCATCTCTGAAGGCTCCAATCGTAATGAGGAGAGTAAGCAATTCAAATAAAGACTGACAGAAAGCCTACGTAGTGATCCCGAGTGGTGGCGGGTAGCAAAGGCTAAAGTAATGGAAAAGGAGGAGGTGATGGGGTATATTAGACAGTTATTCAAGTTTATCAAGGAAACTCGGGCGAAAAGGTCAGTGGTTAGTGTGACTATAGCAGAGGAAGATTAGTCTGCGATCCACTTGTAGGGCGATGACTGGAGCGATGAACGAAGGGCCAGAAGGAACAGTTGGACCGGCCTGGATCTACCATACCATTTCGCACTACACAATCGGATTCTGAATCGATCATTGAGTTAGGACCTTCAACACTTGTGTAAGTCACAAAAGCTGTAAGCAATCGTAAACGCGGAAGGCCAGCAGTAACAGATGGACAAGCACTAAGGGTATTTAAGGACTGTGGTCAAGGATTACGAGTCAGCTTAACTGAAATACTAGCTGGCACGTGCAAATAAAACGTGGTCCTATCTGACTGGTCTCAATCATTGATTGTTCCAGTCTTCAACAAAGGTAAGAAATCCTCGTGTGATAACCATGGGATAACCGGTCCCACGAACATATTGTGTAGGATCCCGGGTTCTAAAGTTATCAGATGTCTAAGTGGAGATCGGGAGCAGCAAACCCTGGAAAACAAGGCAGGTTTCCGATCAGTTTGTGGGTGCATAGAACAGATACTCACTCCTAGCTAGGTTCTGAAGTACAGGCACGCTTACCGACACCTAACGCTAGCTGTGTTTCGAACCTGAGGGCAGACTCTATCGATCAAGAGGTCTTATGACAGTGTCTCTCAATACGTCGAGTAAGCATATCCCTGTGTTAAAGTCTCTGTACTGGGGCAGTTGTGGGCCTGTTACAGCCTTTGAGGGATTATGTACGTTGAGCGGTGGCCGTCGAAGATATGCACTGCCTGCATTCTTGTTCAACTATATCATACATGTTGTCATAGAGGTCTCACTGTTCTAGTCTGACTTCATAGGGATCGATCTAGTCACAGGATAATTCTGGTTGAACCTGGAGTATGTAGATGACAGTCCTGTTTCGTGAAGACGCAGAGAAGATGCAGAGTCTTCTGGACACCTGAATTGAAATGTTGGTTATGTTTGGGATGCGTTTCATTCGCCAACTTACGCATCCTGTAGCTCAGCTGCCACTCCAATTATCTATTTAGGGTCGATTGTAATGCTATGCAGTTCTTTCTTCTGCTATATGACTGGGAATCATAGCCATCAAAATCGGATAATATAAGAAAGCCTCAGATGTTCGACCACCGATACGTTCGTACCATAGACCGTGTGTCGTAGTGACACCATGTCAGTAAACGTAAAAGTTAGTTGCACCCGGCATACAATTTCAACTGAAGCAGATTCAGGTTGAAAAAAGATTATCAGTGCCTAGGCTAAAAATTGGCATCAGCTGATGAATTCTCTGATTGTTGGTTTGAGCCAGGTAGGGAAATGTAGGTCTCCCGGTTGGAGTTCATGAGTCAATGGAAACTAGTGGTTTAAGACTAGGTGATATGGCTCAGAATCGATCTCACTGGTGTAGATGTATCCACATATCATCTTTATCTTAATCGCCATACCCAACTTCATTTCATCTTGGTTGCTTTTCACGCTTTTCTATCACTTCACCTTTCATCTTAGTGCATTTCCATTTGACGTGCTGATAGGAGGTGTGGCAACTTATACGACTGTGGAGTAATTCTGTGTCTCATATTGATATTATGATATGATGCTTACCACAGTCGAAGGAGTGAATAGTTCAAAATCTCGGCACTTCATATAGCAGTACCATGTAAACTGCTCTAACCTTGAAATATACAGTTACATATGCATTTTCCGGAAAAGAAAGATACGTTCCTAAGTGACAGACCATCTAGGCGTACCAAAAAGCATAAACACAACTCAGTAACCAAACACCAATTTGTATACTCCAATTTAAAATACACCTGCTTGACAGCCGAAAATGGTATCTCGCTAACTATACTAAGACAACTGGAGTAAATTAAGAAATAAGTGGCTGGATTATTGAGCAGTACTACTAATTCAATCAATTCATTCACGATTTATGTGTTCATTCCATATTAGATATGCTTTCTTGATGTATAACACACAGTGATAGAATATTATTTACTTGATAACGTTTCCAGCATAGATTATCATCGCTCTTAATCATATCAATGTAATAACACTACTTTCGACATGTGATTTTTAAAGTCGTATCACCTCTTATTCTTTGTTCCTATTGGTAGCAAAATATTCCATATTTCTAGCATAGGTGTTGCATCATTCCTATGACATGTGTTGGGTGTCGATTCGATGAACAAAGATTCAGTAATCAATCTCTCTCTCTCCACCTAATTATATTGGACTTAAGTTTTATCCCACTGTATTGTGTGGTTGTACATGGATGCATTGCAATAGTGGAGTTTTTTCTAGGATACTGATCTTATTTGGATTTGTCATTCTATGTCAGGCTAAATTCTTATATTCCGCTAATCTAACGGACCCAGACCGGCTATTTGACTTATGCACTTGATCTCGAAGTCATTACATATAGGATTCGATAAATTAGATTATTTTGTTTAATTGGTTCTATCGGATCCCTAGGCTGACAAAGTTTATCTCTGAGTGAGTTTGTAGGTTTAAATGCCACCCTAATTCCAGCCTTGTTGAGAATTGTACTTAAAGTTTCTAATGTACCTTCCTTATAAGGTAATACAATTGAGGCTGTGAACTCCTTTCTACTTGTGTTGTCGTTGTTATTCATAGTCATGTTAGTGTTATCTTTTCGTTTCTTGTGGGTTCGAACGAATTTCTTAGTAAAATACGGAGGATAGTTATTAACTATCAGCGCTTTTTTGCGTACTTCACTTCCTTGTTTAGGTCCCTGCACATACTAGCCAGTGAAATATAGAATGGAAGACCCGAATAAGGTCACTATTTTAGAAAAAACACTCGGCTATTGCAACAAACGTATGCATTAACACACAATCACACAATATTGGGATAAAACCAATATAATTAGATGGAGAGAGAGAGAGATTAATTACTGAATCTTTTTTCATCGAATCGACACCCAACACATGTCATAGGAATGATGCAACACCTATGCTAGAAATATGGAAAATTTTACTACCAATAGGAACAAAGAATAAGAGGTGATAGGACTATAAAAATCATATGTCGAAAGTAGTGTTATTACATTGATATGATTAAGAGCGATGATAATCTATGCTGGAAACATTATCAAGTAAATAATATTCTATCACTGTGTGTTATACATCAAAAAAGCATATCTAATATGGAATAACATACTACCACAGTGCCCAAGTTTTACACTTAGATTTATGTGTTAATAATAATATTGCAAAAGCTGTGTATACCCTGTAAAGAAGTTTGAATATGATAACAAATAAGTATGCCTTTATTGGAAATAAATACTCTTTGAAACATATATATATATATATATATATATATATATATATATATATATTATATATATATATATATATGAGCACATTGTCTTTTAAAATGATTCGAAAACATAATTTATAATAATTAAATTTTTCAAGTGATTTAGATGATTATGTTAAATAAATATTACGTCATAAAAATAATAAATTTTTTTGGTAGTATGAGGTAAAGAATTAACTTATGCATACAAATCTGACTATTCACTAATGCTGTTCTGCAGTATTAGAGATATCTGTAACAGAAAGACATCTTTGAACCATTGATTGACTTGCCATTGTGAATAAATTTACTGCATTCGCTGCTAAGCCTAAACACCGCCAACGTTGACGAGCCAATGTATCGCGTATATTCGACTCTATCATAGGATAAATATCCAATGTAGGACTTGTTTCTAAGCGTATCCATGGGTGATCTAAAGATTGTTCCAATGTAGCTCTTTCTTCTGGATCAACTTTTAATAAAGAGGCAATAAAGTTTTTAGCTGATTTCGATATATGATCCCAATGTGGATGGTGAAAATGATAATTTCCTGACATAATTTGTTGCTTAGTTTCATTGTCATCTTGATTCACTGAATAGAATGGTGGATAACCACATAGTAATATATAGGAGACAACACCAATACTCCAATTATCCACTTCAGGACCATAACCAGATTTAGTTAGTTTACTTTTAAGTAATTCTGGTGCTGAATAATCTACTGTACCACAATTTGTCATCATTTTTGGCTGAATTTCTCTAGATAAACCAAAATCTGTAATTAACAATTTTGAATTATCTGTTAGTTTTTCAAAAAGTATATTTTCCGGTTTTATATCTCTATGTACATAACCAATTGTATGCATATATTGTATACCGGATAATATTTGTGAAATTATAACCGCTGCATCACGTTCATAAAATTTTCCACGTTTTATTATTCTATCGAATAATTCTCCACCTTCAGCTAACTCCATAACTAGATAAATTTCATTATTTTCATCGATAAGATCATAGAGTTTCACAAGATTTGGATGATCTAATGTACGCATAATAGACGCTTCACGATACATTAATTTTTGATTTTCTTCTCAACTTCTTTTGAAGAATATTTTTGATAGATTGGTTTTGTACGATCAACGCGTTTTATGGCTACAAATCTGTCTGTATATAAATCATTTGCCTTAAATACTTCACAAAATCCACCATCGCCTAATCGGTTAATTATTCTATAACGATCACTTTTCAATGGATCAATTTCAGCTTTACATGCTAGCTCTCTTTGTTGAGCAGTTTTACGACTCATTACTTAATTCATTTAGCAAAGTATCTGCTTAAAGTATACAATTATTGTATCTTAAACATTCGTATTGGTGGTAGAATTTTTTTATTCTGACTATGATTGTAACAGAGAGAGTTTTAAATTACGCTGAGGAGAGATATCGACTGATCTTGCAATCAATAACTAAGTACAGTATGAATAACATACTTATTCATTCATAAAGTTAATCGCTATACGTGTTGTACATTCCATCAAAGTTGTGATAATTCGCTACGTGAGAAAGAATAAAACAACGTAAAGAACAAAATTTTTTAAAGTTTTTTCTTTTCTGTTGTTACTCTGCATTGAATTTCTCGGCGTCTGTTGGCAGACGTGTTTCTGTGAAGATGCCTCGATACTATCTGAATAATCATCGACGTGTAGTTTACTTGTTGAAGGAATCTAGTACGCACGTTCCTTTCTTTTTGGGTCTGATCAGTCGGACGTACTTGTACCTACAGGAAAAGGCACTCTTGTGCCTCAGTGGCGCGGTGGATAACGCTTTGGAGTTTCCGTGATGGGTACTTGGTTCGAGTCTCAACCATAACACCACCACTCATGGGGTGCAGGTATATCCACCTGAAGAATCCTAAATGGGACGAGACCCTCATCGTCGATTCTACTGCTAGCCACCCAGTAAAATAAAGTGTGACTTGATGTTTTTACTTGTATTATTTCGTCGCTGGTTGGACTGAATCCATAGGTCTCTATCGGCTTATAGGCTCCTGCGCAGATCCCTCGATATTGCCCTTGTTTCATTTTTATATATTAATGAAGGACAATAATGGATAATACAAGTAAAAACACGAAAACTATACCCATCGCACAAGAAGTGGCTATTGCGACTTCGTGGCCTAGTGGGTAACGCTTTGGCATTTAGAGCGACCGGTCCCATGTTCGTCTTAGTGGAAACAATATGCTTCACTGGGAGGCAGGCACATTCAACTTTTGGGCGCCATTACTAGCCACCACCCGTTATTAATATGTAAAATGTGATTTTTTGTTCAACTTAATTTCAGAAAAGCTTGTTTATACGTTTATCAACATGGTGTATCTTAGATACACCTTTAACTATAGCAAGACAAGAAGCTAAGAATGAAATGAGGTAAAATTAAGCGGTTCGTTAACACACAGAAAACATTGCCAAGTTTGAGAATCTCAATCAATGTTAGTTTTTTGTTTAACTAAAATCCTACAAACAATATGGTTTTGAACACTCAAACGACAATCTCTGTAAGAAAAACTTAAGCCAATTTTTTAAGATTATTTATTGTCTCTTGATTTCGACATTCTGTCTATTGTTCTTCATAACTGGGGATTAAAAATTATCTTAAAAACCAAAGGGGTTATTTTCTTAGTGATGATAGAAAGTGGCTAGCAGTGAAATCCAGGATATTCGTTTCGTCCTACTTGGGTTTCGTCGGATGGGTATATCTGCCTTCCAGTGAGTGAATTTCGCACCTAACCTCGAACCCCGAACCAAATGTTTCAAACACCAGAACTTTTCCACTGGACCACTGAGTCATGATAGCTGCCCGTGTACGACCAGCATATTGTAGTTTTGATATCACTGTGTGTAAATCTCTTTCATGTATTAGATTGAATTGATGGGCCACCATTATCAAATGGGTTCTTGTGTGGATACCTCGATATTGCCAGTATTTGAATTTTAGCGTTAATGATGGATGCCTTCTTATATCAATAATCAATACAATCTTAACACTGTGCAAGAATATAATTTCATATTAGATTATTTTATCTGATATGACACACACTAACTCGGTAGTACTTAATGATGTGTGTTTACTTATGAATAATAACAACAATAGTAATTAGTGAAATTGTATCGGTGTACTATATCAAAGAAAAGGAATCCGATATGTGATTATCGCCTAAAAATTCATAAAGTATACAATACTATTATCGATGTAACTCCAAACAATAACCTTTACATTGTAATAATATATTTCAATATAATCCCAGAGTGTGTTTAAAAAAAATCAAAACAAGATATTTCTGGAATTTTCAATGTGTAAGCCACAGCTTCTTCAGCAGAATATACAGATTTTTATTGACATCAAAATATATGGTCAAATGATACATGAAATACATTTAGTGAACCTAGGACATTGGTTGGATGAATTTTCTGTCCAGTTTGAGTAATTAGAAATTCAACATGGTTTTCCTTAGCTCCTAAGATGATAACAGTGACTGGATTCTACAGTAGACCAGAAACCCCCAAAACGGGGATCCCTCTTAAAACAATCTATTAAGTCTACAAATTCGATAACTTATCGTCTATGCAAATATTTATCAAGAATTCTGTAATCGCTGCAGTATGACACTTCTTCAAACATTAAAAATGCACAGGATTTCAAAGATAAACTGGAACATGACGATACGCAAAGATGAAATTATGGCAAGTTTTAATATAATTTATCTATTCATTAGTATACCAACATGTGAACGCCTAGATATTATAAGAAATGGTGTTAATAATAACCAAGATGTAATATCTGAATGTCCGCTTTCAACACAGGATGTTTTAAAATCCTTGAAGCTATATTTAGAATCTACATATTTCACACTCAAAGACGTAATGTAACGTCAGTCAAATGGAGTTGTAACGGGTTCACTAGCATATCCAAATGTGGAGAATCTCTACATGAAAGCTTTGGAAGAGAGAGCTTCAAGAAGTGTTCAGTGCCAAACCAGAATTCTGTATAGATATATAGATGATACATTCGTCATTCTTAAGAAATTAAACTAGCAGATATTTTTGGGACATGTAAACTCTATTTGAGATTTTATTAAATTTACCAATGAAATAGAATCTAAGAACGGAACTGTAAATTTTTTAGATTGTCTAATCCAAAGTACAGTATACAGAAAACCAACACATACCGACAAATATTTAGACTTCCAATTGGATCATCCAAAAAACATGAAGTCTAGTGTTGGATTGAAATCACTAATCAGAGCGAAAAACATCGTAACCGATCCTAATGATTTAGAAAATGAAGTCTTTTGAATAAAGCTTGTTTCAATGCAAAATGGATACCCTTAAAAGTTTTTGAATGATATTATTGGTCAAAGGAATAAAACAGCAAGTACTGCTACTACTACTACTACTACTACTACTACTTGTAATAAAGGTAAAACAAAATCATGGGCTTCGTCTATGACGATACCATAGAGGAAAGGTACTTCTGAACAGAATAAAAGAGTGTTCCCCTGGCATTGTATTGAAGTCTGTTTTAAACCTTCAAATTCACTAGAAACTATCTTAGTCAAATTGGGAGATACAATTCCTAAGATCACACAGAACAACTGTGCCTACATAATTAAAAGTTTGGAATGTGAATCTAATTATGTTGGAGAAAGTTGTAGACCCTTAAACATTAGGATGAATGAACACAAGTTATGTGGGTGAAATCCACCGAGAGATGAAGATGAATTAAAAAACAACTTAAAAAATCGATCAGTAATAGCTACACAAGCTATCCAAGCGAAACTGAACACATGATAGACTTTGAGAATGTAGACATATTGGGAAAAGGTTTCTATTCTCATGAAGAAAGATTAACTTCCGAGGCCCTACATATTTTAACAACATCATGTATTATAAACAGAATAGAAGGAATAGACTTGTCACCTATCTAGCAAACATTAATCCGACAAAGCCATTAATGGTAACCTTTTTCAATTTAAGCTACGATAACAGTGACAACTGTCAGCTGACAGTCTGGCTGACACTTCAGGATTGGTCTGCAGCTAAAGAAGAGAAATTAAGATGTAAAGCTTCTTCGCCAAAATTCTTAGGTTTTTGGAGAAGTCTTACTTCATATACAAAAGGGTATTCTGGCATTTTTCATTCCAAAACAATTCCACCCTCAATGAGTCATCCAACTGAATGAAAACCAACGTGTTAGTATATTGCACAGCATTTCTGATGCATAATTATATGACCATGAGAAGTAGTCATAAGAAAAGACGACTTGAGATGACAAAGCATAGACGCTTAGCATTTCTTTCATTCTGTGAGACCTCAGATTGAGTATCATTGAGGGAAGATAAAGATGAAGTCGGAATGATCAACACACATTGTGTGAGAATGTTAGTGAAACTGCCAACTTGATGCCTCGACATCGGTATATGGAGTGGTTTGTATCCTATGACTCATCGATCGGAGGTCAGGTAGGTGCCTCGACCAATGAGCCACAGTTCTACAGGGATGTTGAGGTTGGACGGAGATGACGAGACGGTGATTTCAAGTGAGTCGATGGATTTGTGAAATGTCATCACTTGAGATGGTTGATATGTGTGTTACATTAATCTGGACATAGCCATGTAGGCCGTGGAAGAGTTATGTTGAAAGAGAGGTAAGGATGGTGAGTAAAGGAGATGATAGGAATGCATATTGTGTAAGTGTTATTCGGAGGAGTGTAGGCTGAACGAGTGGTGGTGTGGAGATGCTATAATCCGACTGTTTCAGACTCTCAGTTGTATGTATGAAATGGGTTAGAACTGCGTAGATGTATACATTTCTTATCATGATCATAGTCGTCATCATCATTTTATTTGGCTTCATACATTTATCTTCTCCTGCGATAGATGACTTTATCAGCACTATGGTTTTTTCTGTCCACTGTTACTGAATAGTGTCGTGAAGTTTTCAGTCTGGAATGGGAAATATTTGGGCAATATTCTGCTTTGATTCACTATTTAATAAATATTCACGTATCTTGAAAT